AGATTTTCCTACATTCTCTAGGACAGCAGTTCTCAGCCTGTGGGTTGCAACCCCTTTGGGGGGACCCTTTCACAGGGGTTGCCCAATTCATAACATTAGCAAAATGACTGTTATGAAGTAGCAACGAAAATAATGTTATGGTTGGGGAGTCGCCACCAAAGGAGGAACTGTGTGACAGGGTCGCGGCAAGAGGAAGGTGGAGAAGCACTGCTGTAGGACCTCTGGAACATGCCGAGTTCTTGGGAGACAGTGGTTGGTTGGTCACTTGGTTGAAAAATCATACTTATGCACCCTGTGGTTCGCCTGGGACTTCTTCATGCACTAAGAGTAGCCACCTTGGAAGAAGTGATGTGCTTGCTTCTGTAGAGAAGTTCTGGCCAAAAGGACTCTCCTTAACTTGCCCAGCTGATGGGATACTCAACCAGCGTCGTACTCTTTTAGCACACAATTCTCCATGTGTGATCCGTACCATTAATGTAAAACGTTTTATGTTCCACCATAAAAACTCATGCCTGTTCTCTTGTGGAGGGAGGCCATCGCCAGTCCCTCAGGCAGCATACCTCTGGCTCGCATCTAGTGCTTACTCTCAATTGCTACTTACTTTTGCCTTTCAGTCTTTAAAGTTACTTCTCTGACCAAAGTAAGCGGTCAAGACAAAGAGCCAGTGATACGCATCACATGATTGAGATTGGCTCATTAAGAATGTGCTCTTGCCGTCTTACTGTGGCTTGATCCTGCCGTGATGGACAACATCTGCTACCCCTGACCAGCTGCTTCTTGGAAGGCTGATGGGAATCTCTCCCAGCCTCTGATCGTGTGACTGCGGACTGCTTCCCTCGGCCACTACGCTGGACTTCACACTTCCAGGGGTGGAGTGAGTTTTATCTAAACTCTCTTCTCAATCAGCCCCATGTTTAGAACTGGCATCTAAAGTAACCTCTTGAACTGAAAGAGACCGAGCGGGCTTTCAGGACTCCCCCAGAGTCAGAGTTCTTAACTACACCACCGACTAAGACCGCCAGGCAAAGAACTTCAGCTGCTTCCTTCAGGCCTAGATTCCCCTCTGATTTCTTACCTGGGTTGGGCTTTGCCCAAGGAAGCCTGGGAAGTGGGAGGAGTCAGAGGGGCCAAGTACCTCCTGCTGTGGTGCTGTGTGGATGACCGTGCCCTCCTTCATTACCTTCACTGCCTCTCTGGGGTGTATGTGTACCAGCTACTCCCTTCTAGATGCACGTTGCCCCTCTGGGGTGTGGAGAGAACCCAGGTAAAGCTCTCTGTGTGTCTAGGGGTGTGGTGGGTGGGGAAGGGGGATGGGTAGAAAGTGGGACGAGAAAATGAAAGCACGGGGCTAGCTGCCCCTTTACGAGGAGGGTCCTGAATGCCTGGGAATGTTGGTGTCTTGAGGAAAGGACCAAATTGACTCCATCTCTGCCCTTCATTTTGCTTTATTCTCAGACGTGTTGACTAATATTTATTGGCTCTCTAGAGGTCTGGCTTCCCTCTTGGCCTCCTAGAAAATAGCGCGTCTGACCCTTCTGTGAATCCCTAATGCCTAACGTGGTGGTCGGCATATAGCAGGCATTGCTTTTGCAAGCTCTGGTTGAATGAAATGCTCCCATATGGACCCACCTGGAGGACAGAGTGGCATGAGTGGCCGGTATTATGGAAGAGGATGACCCCTTCCTGGGAGATGGACACTGCTACATAGTGGAAGCGTAATAGGCAGCAACCGACAAGCTGATAAAGAATCTTTTCATAATAATGAAGATGCCGATGTCAATCCTTGATAGACATCCAAGTCAGGTTCTTAAGTGCCTTACAATAACCCACTGGTAGGGTCCCAGTAATGGAGCCCTCGTGGCTTGGTGGGTTATGCTGCCAACCACAAAGGTTAGCAGCTCGAAACCACTGACTGCCTCATGGGAGAATGATAAGGTTCTCTCCTCCCATAAAGATTCTCAGAAACTCACAGGGCCCGTTCGACCGTGACCCTTGCTGTGATTTGGAATTGACTCAGTGGCAGTGAGTTTGGTGTTTGAGTTTTTTCAGGGTCCTAAGAACCCTGGTAGAGTAGTGGTTATGCATCGGACTGCTAACCACAAGGCCCTCAGTTCTAAGCCATCATGCCCTCCAAAGGCGAAAGATGAGGCGTTCTACTCATGTGAAGAGTTACAGTCTCAGAAACACGCAAAGGCAGTTCTACCCTATCGGGTCACAGTCTGTTTATAGGGTCACTGTGAGTCAGAATTGAGTGGCAGTGGCAGTGAGTTTTTTAAAATATGCCCATATTTTGGGAAATCACAAATACAAGAAAGAGGGTAAAAGGATGAGAAGGCAACAAGGATGAGTCAACGATCAATTATTTGGTTAATGAACAGAAAATTTATTCAATGATAATAGCTTATTGGCAGCTGTGTAGGACATTTTTTTTAATTAATTTACTACTTGAATGTTCCAAAAAGTATTTCAAGAGGTTTGGGAAGATCCATGATGTGATAAGGTTGTACGAATTAAAAGTGAGATAAGAGAAAGTCAGGCATTCTGGGTACAGAAGAGAGACCCACCGAAAGCTGAAAGTTATCCTGACCGTTTTAGGGCCTGTCCAAATACTGCATTTGGACTTGTCCATATTGCATGGCTTCCATATATCATGGAAGGGGCAAATGTGATCTTGTGTTGTTAGCAAAATAGAGAAAATATCATCAGATATGGAAACTAATATTCTAGGTCATACCACCTAGATCGATGT